TAAAGAGCTCACCAAACTCCACACCTGAAAAACAAATAATGCAGTGAAGAAATGAGCAGAAAAAATGAATAGACACTTCCCTAAAGAAGACATCCAGATAGCCACCCGACACATGAAAGAATGCTCAACATCACTCCTCATCAGGGAAATACAAATCAAAACCACAATGAGATACCACCTCACACTAGTCAGAATGGTTAAAATGAACAACTCAGGCAACAACAGATTTTAGCAAGTATGTGGAGAAAGAGGAAGTTTTGCGTTGCTGGTGGAAATGCAATCTGGTGCTGCCCTTCTGGAAAATAGTATTGAGATTCCTCTAAAAAAATTACAAATATAACAACTATATGACCGAGCAATTGCACTACTAGGTATTTATTTAAAGGATACAGGTGTGCTGTTTCGAAGGGGTGCATATACCCCAATGTTTATAGCAGCTCTATCAACAATAGCCAAAGTATGGAAACAGTACAAATGTCGATCGACAGATGAATGGATAAAGAAAATGTGGTGTGTATATATATATATATATTATATATTATATTATATATGTATAATGTATATATATACATTATATATACATATATTATATATATATAATGAAGTATTACTGGACAATTAAAAAGAATGAAATCTTGCCATTTGCAGCTACATGGATGGAACTAGAGTGTTATGCTAAGTGAAATTAGAGAAAGACAAATATCATGACTTCCCTCATATGTGGAATTTAAGACACAAAATAGATCAACATAAGGGAAGGGAAGCAAAAAATATATATAAAAACAGGGAGTGAGACAAAACATAAGAGACTCTTAAATATAGAGAACAAACTGAGGATTGCTGGAGGGGTTGTTTTTGGGCGATGGGCTAAATGGGCAAGGGGCATTAAGGAAGATACTTGTTGGAATGAGCACTGGATATTATATGTAGGGGAATGAGTCACTGGATTCTACTCCTGATATCATTATTGCACTATATGCTAACTAACTTGGATGTAAATTTAAATAGATAAATAAAAAGAAAACAAAAAACAGTAATTGTTTTATCAGCATGTGAACTTTTTAAATTATTGGTGAACTGGTGAGCAAATAGGCTCATTACCTCACTCTTTTAGCATGCAAATTAAGTGAAAGAGTAATATATATATATATATATATATATATATATATTTGTATATATACGTACATATATATAGTGTGAATATATATGTATATATAGTGTAAATATATATGTATATATATTTTTAAGTGACATATATATGTCACTCATAAAAAATTCTTAAAATGGATAGTTTTCATGTTTTGACTAAAATAATATACTTATGGAAATTAGTGCATGGAAAAACACAAAATACATAGATGCATGTATAATATTTTTCATAGTGGCTTGTAGTAGCACAAACTTGGGAAGCTTTGTTAAAATTTGAAACTGTATTATCAGGTTAAAGTTTGCGACAATTAAAATTTTAACTGAAATGATAATCTAATATATAAATTATATGAAAATCAGAACTTATTGTTGGTACATTTTTAAAATAGAGAAAAAGGTATGTTTCAGATCAGTGAAGTTCTTTCTCTGGTAAACAAATTACCTTAGCTTTAATTTCTACTATGTCTTTAAAGAAAAAGCATATTAATTTGGCAAATGATAAAAATCTATTAAATATTTCTGAACATGAAGTGACATCAAAAAATTGTTAAATGAAAACAGCAGGTTACAAATATTTTTTAACTGATTATATTTTGAAAAATATATTTGTTGTAGATGCATACTATATTTCATACCATACAAACATACAACAAATATATTCTCTTATCTCTCCCCTTCATTTGTTTGTTAAAGAACCTGGTTCAGTTCATTGCATCCCAATGCTGAAAGAAGAACTAAAAGACTTGATCAGATTCAGCTTTGATGTTTTTGACAAGAATGCTTCATAGATAGCGCCTATAACGTAGCACATGATGCCTGGTTGTTGTTGTTGTTGTTGTTGTTGTTGTTGTTGTTGTGTGTGAGAAAGAGAAAGAGAGAGAGAGAGAGAGAGAGAGAGAGAGAGAGAGAGAGAGAGAGATTTACCAGCCATTTATTGCCTTTATATAGGTCCCTTACTTATGAGTTTTAAAATTATGATACTCAAATTCTGTCATGCCTCCTTCATATATTAGCTAGAATGCACTTATAAAGAGAAACTCCATCATCAATAAATTGGCTATCTTTATAAACAGCTTATATAGGAAAAAGAATACATATTTTACTCTTCTTTATTTATAAATTTTCGTTAACATAAGTTGATTTACTGGCCTTCTCCAAATGCCACCAATAAAGTTTCTTTGTTGTTGTTGTTAACACGATGAACTCACCTTTTAACATATTGATGGGCTCCAAATACTTTTTTAGGAGTTTCATAGCAAAGGAGTGACAAGATTTTACTTAAGCTTTAAAATATTACTCTGCCTTCTGAGTTAAAAATAGACAGTGAGGTAGCATGGGTGAAAACTTAGGGGCCAGTTGGAAGGCAATATAATACAGAAGATTGATGTTGGTAACAACGAGGTTGGTAGCAATAGAAGGGGTAAAATGTAGCTAGATTTGGGACCTATTTTGAGGGCAAACCAAGAGAATTTTTTGATAAATTAGGTGTGGAGTATGGGATAAATAGAATACTATTCTAGGCTAACTCCAAGTTTTTTGGGACTGTGCATATGAAATTTCTGGTTCAAATGCTTTAATTTCCCTTCCATGCGCCATACAAGAAAAGTATCAAAAGTTGTAAGTAGCAGTACAGTGAATGTAACCACTTCCCAAAGGAGTTATTCCAATGTCTGGTCATAATCAGTACATTGTGGAATAACCAGGAGTGAATAGATCTTTACTATAAGCATGCTCTGAGACAAAATGGAGTAATTAATGTACAATGTACAGCACACAAACCTAGAGAACCTAAAATGTTAAAACCCAAAGAAAATCTAGTTTCTAACAGTCTAATTGTCTTACTCCTCCCTTCCCCAAAACCACTAGTATTACTATCAACTGATACATTGCTTCAGTTGAGTATAGTGAAAATAAAATAACCTTAGTGAATTTACCTATGGGAGAGATTGAGACAATCTTATTGAAACAATTTTATTTCTGTAGATGTCATAAAAACCTTCCAAATCTCACCACATTGTGAATTAGATATGTTAGTGGCAAGTGTGGGGGCCAATCAAGAAAATTATAGGAGTGAATAGTGTGAAATATTTTTTTTAAAGCATGTTTATATGCATACCTGAGACCACAATACCTGATAAAGTAAACTTTGGAGCAAAGAAAATTAGAGACAGAGAGGATATTACATAATCTAGAAGGATAAATCCACAAAGAAGACATAACAATCTTTAATGTGTATGCATCCAAAAAACTGAACATCGGAGTACAAGAAACAAAAACTGATGAAGCTGAAAAGACAAATGGCCACATCCGCAATTTTTGTTGGGGGTCTCAACACCTTGTTTTCAGCAAGTAATAGAATTACTAGAGAGAAAATCATCAAGAATACTGAAGAGCTGAATAATACAATAATGCAGTAGCAGAATCTACATAACATATGCCAAAATACTCTACTCAACAACAGAGTACACATTTTTTCAAGTTCCCATGTAACCTCATCAAGATAGACCATCTGTTGGGTCATAAAACAAACTTAATCTAATCCAAAATAAATGAAATATAGAGTATGTTCTCTGACTATAATGGAATCAAACTATCAACAGAAAGCAAATAGAAAAGTATCTAGACACTTGGAAATTGTAGTTGACATCTATTATTCCAGTTCATTGTTCAGTTCCTTGTTATAAAAGGGAAGAGATTAGAAATAATTGTCTCCTGAGCTGAAGGACATTTCAGACTGGGCAAAAGAAAGCTCACTCAGAATATTTCAGAGCACTGTTGAGAGCAAGGCTAAAGGGAGAGAGACAGTTTAGGAGTCTGTAACATCAGTCTCACCTGACATTAAATTTTGTACTATACTAAAAAAAAAGTACAACTTGCTGATATTAATTAAATCAGTTTGGTAGCTTATTGGATTTGGAAGGTAAGAGAAAGCTTGCCTTCCAGGTTGTGGTGAAGTTCTTAAATTAGAGATGCCTGAAAGAAGGCAAGATTCAGATGCCTACCTAGTGTATAACTCATGAACGTCATACTTCTATTCTTTATAAATACCACCCAATTTTCCCAATGGTCCCACATAGTTATCTCCTACTTCAAGATTTCCTCCCTGGTTTATGCCATCTGTCAAATAAAGCTTCCATATCTAGACAGGTAAAGAAGTATGCTTTCTGGTGTTTGTATCATTGTTCTATTCGGTCAGGTTAACACTTTGCTTGCCCTACCATGATGTTAGACCAAGATGAGGTACATGGTATTGGGCCACTGATGTGTCTTCATTTGAACTTGTACGTATTTTTTCAATGTTAAAATAAATTTGATTTTAAATTTATTTTTTATTTAAAACAAAAATGATGGCAGTAGCTCTCCTCAAGGAAAAATAAAGGTGGGGATTCTTGCCAGGGTAATTTTGGCAAAGGGATCTTTAGTTATGAACATGGTCAGTATTAGCTTCATCCTTCCTATGTTTAGGAGGATGATGGAAACATGGCAATGAGGCATTCCCAATAGGACCTCCAAATAAGACAGTAACCAGGGAGCCTGGCTTGCATACACAGCAGCTGAGATGCTGCAACTTTTTACTCGCCATGGTCTTTTTCTTCTTTCATTGGAAAAGTGAAGAGTGATAGAACTTGAGTAACAACTAAGCAATCCTAATTACAGACTTATTATTGGGGTGAGAGTATATAGAAGATTTTGTAGCATTTCTATACATTTGTGGACACTCCCTTCTATCCACTTCACCATAGCCCTTCCTCTGCCTTCCAAACTAACAATAGCAGTGTGAAATGGCATAAGGAATACCAAAACAGAACATTTCCAGAGAGAGATATGGAGAACACACAGGGTGGAAACCAAGGGGGCTGGTTCAGGATCACAGTAAGTGTCCTGGCACAAAGAAGGGAATGTGCTGGAAAGGCAGATCAAGGGGAGTTGTGTGGGTCTCATATAGAAATGCTAGGAACTTTGTTGAGGACAAGAGGAGATAACATCCTTGATCAACTAAGAGCAGGTTCCCACAAAAAATACAAAGGAAACAGGTTGACTGAAAGAAGGTCACAGGAAGTTGACTAAAGGCAAAAGTTGAAACTACTGCCAAGGATATGGAGCAACTCCTCACCAGATGACACAACATTCGGCTCAAGTTGACTATGGAGGTGTAGACTCTAAATTCATTTTCAGAAAAATAGGTAAGGTTTTCAATGCATAGGATTTGCTGGAACATTATTAAAGGAATATCATTTTAAATATCTAAATTTTATTGTTTGGAAGTTAAATATTTGAATTGGGAGAATGGATGATTAGAAAATCCATGGCGGCAAAATAAAAAGTTAAAATCATGTCAAAAGTCCTACTTTAGAAGTCTTTTAAAGTTGAGTAGACCCGGGTTGGGTCTGTTCTACAGTCTTAATGCCCTGTTGTCTCCCTTCTCTCCCATCCCTACTTTTCACCCTTAGATTCCTTACGGAATAAAGTATAACAAGACATGGTTACTAAACTCAATCCAAAATCACTGTAGTGTCCCCTTCACCATGGTCGATGTAAGAAAGGATGGTGAATCCAGATGTGTGGTGAATCCCCTCCATAAGGAGGGGAAAGAGATGGCTCAGCAGGGGCCACAGCCTCTGACACTATTACTGTTGCCTTCAATTCCTGTAGTTCCATTATTTAAAAGACCGGGCCCAGTTCTTTATCCAGGATGGTACTGCTGCCTCTGCATTGAAGGATATCAACCACAAGATTTGTGATGAGGAAAATAAAAAGGTATGTGTTGAAGATATTACCCGTACCTAGTCCCAATGCAATAAGGCAGGCCAGTGGCTGGTCGTCTTCCTTATAATGAGAGTTCCTAGTGCTTATCCCACCTCTCCTTCTTGTATCTATACGTGTCAATATCTCTGCTGTACCTTACTCTGTTTTTGTTACTTACTATTCTTATCACTCTCAGAATAAATTGGAGCCAGAAGAAATGAAGCTAAAGTTAATGAAGACTTGATGCCCATTGTGTGTTCATACCCAGACCTACTCTTCTTCCCCCAACCCCCAACTTCCCTATACCATGACAGACTCAGTGGCTCTCACTACCTTTCTCTGCAGCTGACCATGAGAAAATGCTATGATATTGTCCAAAAATGTCTTGACCTCCATAAACTTCGTTTTGACCCAGGTACAACTGACAGCAGTAATTCTAGGGGATTGCCTGGGAGTGACACTCAGAGATGGTGATCAAGGAGAGGCTGGTGCTGGTCCTGGACCCCTCTCAGCCTTCTGATTACATTCTCTCACCTTCCTGAAGAGTTGGTGGACCATGATATTGCTATAATACTGAATTGAAGAAACTGCATATCTGCCACCCTGCAGATCATCAAAGAGAATTTCTCCAAGATAAGGCCTTATGCCTTATACTGCTGGTATTATGGTAGGGGGTAGAACAAATGTGGTGGAGGGAAGGCTTTTTTCTGAAGCCCTAGATAGTAACAGTCACTCTAATTCTTCTTCACCAAAAGCTTTTGTCCTTGAACTTGTGCAAGAACAAACTGTATCAGCTGGATGGCCTGTCTGACGTTATACAGATAGTCCCCACAGTCAAGATCTTGAACCTGTCCAAAAATGAGGTGGGAAGAGGGAAGCAGATCAAAGTTGGGGTTGACAGTGGGTAGTAGTGCTTCTCAGAGTGCCAACTGACCAGAGGCAGGAGAAGGTACCTGAGGGGGTGGGTGGGGACTAAGAGTGCAAAGGCCCAGGTGTCTCTTTATTCCTGGGACATTTTTCCAGGTTTCTTCCTACATTTTTCAGGTACAGTCAGCCTGGGAGTTAAGCAAGATGAAAGGGCTGAAGCTTGAAGAGCTGTGACTAAAAGGGAACACCTTATACAGCACAAACAAGTCCACCTATATAAGGTCTGTGGTAACCTCTGTCACCCCTCCTGGGGACCTTTGCACGTTGGAAGTCTGAATTACCCCTGAGAGTATGCCTCCCTAAAGGATGTGGTAGCACTGGTCCTCTAGGAAGACCACAGACCCCTCCCTCTTCTCTCTGTGTCTCTTACCTGTGCTCAGAGGTATTTCCCTTCCTATGACCTGCTCACTTGTTCTCTTGGTCTGGGCTCTGTTTACCCATTCTGCACCTGGTTTTCCATAGTATTCCTTCCCATGAAAATGCTCCAGGAAGCAGGGCATCTTCTCTTCAGGAACAGGAGTAACCACCTTGAGCCAGATTCTGTGACCTGAACTGAGAAGGGTCCTCCAGCCCAGGGCCTCATGCTGATACCAGCCTTCCTGCATTCCTGCTTCTCACCAAGAGGAGCCCTATTTCCCTTGAAACAAATGGGCCCCCTCTCTAATCCCAGGTGGCCATGATCGCTTTCCTGCCCCATGATGAGGGCCAAGGTCTTGGGGTGCTACCATCATGGCATCTGTGTGTTCCTCTGACCCAATGCCAGAAACTGGCCCTCCTTCGGAGAAACCAGGTTTCCCTGAGTCAAGTGGCCAGAAGTGGGTGACTGCCAGTGAGCAGAGGGCTTCCTGAGGCAGGAATGAAAGTCAGAGGGAAGAGGTACTTGAGATAGAAGGACAGGACTCTCAGAGGCAACCCCCATACATGTCACATCATCCTAACTGGTCCTTCAGAGGAGCCCTGGGTGGCCCAGCACAGGTATGATTCCTCAGGCTAGGAACCGATTGAGATAGGCACAGGGGCAGGAGGGAAGGTAGTGATCATAAGAGGGGGCCACAGACCATCAGCCCCATGCTGACTTGGGCTTGACCCTCTACTCTTTCAAGGGAAGCTCTTCTGCCCCCGTAGCTGCCTTGTTCCCCATGCTCAGCTCAGGATGAGCTCACACAAGTGACAAAACTTCAACCAGAGTCCAGTGGGCACCAAGCCCAACACCTTCATGTTTTCCATTCCTACCTTGGGTGCCAGGGCCAGCCAGGGCAGATGAAGGAAAGGGCAGCAACTAGGGGGCCACTTCCCCCTTCTCTCTTCTTCTCTGACCACCACCACCATAGTAGAACTTTTTTTTCCCTTTCCTTGTGCTGTTTTTTTCTCTTCTTCCTCTATCACTACTCCCCTATGTCCCTCTCACCTCTCTCCTCCCACCTTCACTCCCCCTCGGTCTTCACTTTCCATCCCTGCCTCTTGAGCCCTGCCTCACTCACCTCCCTTCTCCAGCATTCTGGGTCATTCCTGAGGGGTATCATGGTCCTGCAGAATGCTGGACCGCTAGTGAGGTAGCAGAGCCCTGGGCACCCACCCCATACCCTCTTTTCTCTGGAGCCTTCAGTGGGAACCTGGAGGAAGGAAGGAAGGCAGGGAGGGGGAGGCATCCCTAGAGCCTGGGATCCAAATATTGCTTCTTGTGATACTGGAGAAGACAATCAAGACAGTTTAGGTGGGAGCTACCCAGGAGGAAGAAGAGACAGAGGGAGAGAACTTTTACAGCCTAAACTATCATTTATTTCTTTCTATTTTTGGTTTTGGAAAGTGCCATCAGAGATTGTTTCCCCACATTGTTATGCCTGGTAAGTGCCTACATTCATCATTGTCTCCTCTTATTAACATTGATGACTTCCACAAGCGCCCTACAGCTTTTTGGGGGACTTACATAGGTTATGTTTTTGTATCTGACCTTAGCCTTTTAGGGTCCATAGACTCCTGAAAAAAGCATGGCTATTCTTTTTTTCTTCCTGGGAAAAAATGCCCTTAAACACACACACACACACACACACACACACACACACACACACACTCACTCTCTGTCACTCACCTATTCACCCAAGTTTGCATATAATAATAGAGGCATCTGGGACCCTCTGTTGAAGACTCCTACTGTAGTCTTGCTGATAAAATTTTGGGGGCCATTTCACATAGGAACTCTGACCTTTGTTCCCCTTGGACCTATTCATGCCCTTTTTTCATCCATTGCAACATTCGTGGCATGCACTTCTGACTTCCTCTTCCTTCCTCAGGATGGCCAGGTGTTACCAATTTAATTTGGTATATATATATTATATAAATGCATATTATTGGTATATATATATATATATATATATATATATATATATATATATATATATATATATATATATATATATATATATATATATGGTGTATATTATACCAATATAACTTATATTGAAGTCCCCAAGATAATAACACCTTATAAGGTGAGGATGGACCAAGGAAGATTTGGGATGTTGCAAGGGAGGCTTTGTCTACCACATAGTTTCAAGGCATCTTTTGATATGAAGAAAACTATAAAGGATTTTAGATTCTTACGAATCGAATCTTTCCATTTCTGCTTCAGTAAGTACCCTTGGGACCATGAGGCAGAAGAGGACTGGAATGGGACAGGCCACCCAAGCATCGATCTGTTACTGGGTTGAGGGGAACTTTCATGTCCCCTTGGTGGCCCAAACCACAGAGATAACCATTGCCTTTGTTCCTCTTCAGATATTACTTGATCTATGACTCTGGAGATGAACAGGGTCTCCTCAATGCTTGGCATGATGAGGTGTGCTTCTCCCTGACCATTCCCTTAAACCCTGAAGATGCAGCATTGTGAGTATCACAGCTCAGACTCTGCTCTAAGGCTATGTGTCTCCCCAGCAAACACGGGTCAGCTCCTAGAAACATCTACACTGCCTAGAAACATATATACCACATTCTGTCCCTCTTTTTTTCTAGAAACAGCTTGGAAGAATACTTCAAGGATACCAGGGACATTAAAAAGTTGAGGACTCTGGTAAATGTATAAAGCAAGATCATCATGGGAAAGGGGATGTGAAGGGAACATATATAGAGGCTGATGACCTGACCCTTACTTCTCTTTTCCCTACAGACCTGTGGATTCAGCTTTTAAGCATACAAAGTATGACATTGTTGACTCCCTCAATATGTTGCCCAAAACTCAGCATGACTTTCACTCCTATGTGGTAGACCTGAGCATCTGGATGGCGACCATGTATTTCCTGCCTTAGGCAGACCATGAAAGTCAGAAATGGGTAGGAGGTGTAGAAGGATACTGAGAGCCTTAGCAACTGTTCTTTCCCTTCCCTACTCTATTTTTCTGTCAATGGGGTTTTTAAAGAAGGTGAGTGTAGAGTCCCCTCCCCTGATCCTGCACTATATCCTGCCCCTGGCTTGGCTACCTCCCAATTCTCCTGGCTTTCCAAGTTACTTTCCTTTCCTTTCCTTTCCTTTCCTTTCCTTTCCTTTCC